GCTGAACCTTTTATCAATTTACCAAGCCATTCAGAAAAGGAGACTTACAGAGGGAGGATACAGAAGGTAATCAGGTAATATTCCCATCCATATTAAAAACTACTTTGGGATTTCTTATATAAAAAAAATCTGACAATAATCCAGATCTTTATTCTGCAATATATGGGAGTTTCCTTCAGGACTGACAGTTTCAGGGTAGAATTACAGAAAAATTCACATAAGTTCACAATAATTCAAGCTATTATCTGATGTGCTTTTTCTCTTCCCCTTCGGCATAACTATCAAAATACTCAGCTAAGTCTGAAAGACAGCTTGGTGAGATGATTTGACATCAAAAACCAAGCGCTCTTTTTCCAAATATTCCTTGGATACTCATATTCCAAGATCAGAGCTTGACTGAGCAAAGAGCTAGCTCAGAGTTATGTCATTCAACATAAGGAGCTACTACCTCAAGGCTTATTAACAGAACTTCAGCAACGTGCCTACACTATGAATGCGGACATTCCCAAACCAGCTTCATGCAAACACAGTGAGGGGTTTTTCAGCTCTGACCAAATGAACCAGCTAAAACAGGAAGCAGCACAGTTTAATCAGCTCAAACACAACACTGCACTGGACTTGAGCTGAGAAGTCTGAAGGCACCAGACTGAGCACACCTACCAACCTGAAGATCTTTCCATTGTAGTCCATTACATTCAATTAAAGTATCCTACACGTGAAGCCAGACTTGTAAACTAAATGCAAATACTAGAGTACTATTGCAAAGGACTCTCCCCTTCCTATCAAGACACCTCTACAGTGTTTGAAAAGGAGCCTGCAAAAGAAAGAAATCAATCGGAAAACAATATTGCTGTCTTTAGTCACAGCATAATTCCTGATTTGCAGCATCTTTTACACATCCATTTAGTTAAAATCTAATTTCCTCTTTTAAGCTGTAAGAGCTCCATCTTCTCTGCTCAGCTTTCCTAAAGAATCCTTTAGATTCTTCACACACTCTTCAAGTACTTTGATGTGAACAACTGCAACCTCATGATGATAGTAAATAACAATTTTAGGGATCCTGAAACATGCATGAGGTATCACAGTTACGTTCCTTAAGATATAGATGAATGGACAAAAACTGTCCCTAAAGCCTGGAAGAGACAAGTAATTAATCCAGAACCATCAATATAAGTTAGTGAAATTAGGTGAAGGGAACTATATGGAGACTGAAACGAAAACATGACTAAAGAAAATCATTATCTGGGAGAACAGATACAGAGACGTAATGAAGAGAATGAAAATAATAAACCCTGAGAAAATAAAAATGTTTTAATGAAGGCACAATAACCACCATGATTTTTTTCCTTAAAAGAAGAAAAACAATTCCCCATTCTCAGATATTAGCACCTGACTGGCAAGAAATTCCCTGAGATTTTGAATTCCTAAGCAATCACGCAATCTGAAATTGTACTATTGTATGTCACAATTTTGATATGAATAAAGAAAAAGAAAATAACGTGGAAATGCAACTGTCTGAAGACTAGATACAGGTGAAAAGAGCACACAAAATCAACCTTGTACACAATGTTTTAGTGTGTTTTTTTTTTTCTGATTCCAGTTTGAAGTTCTTCCTTTTGAAAATAAATATTCCCCATTGATCTTCTTCTAGCAAAGTATCTTCAGTTAAGAGGATGTAAATCTTTTCATTCAAAAACTGCAAGGCAAAAACTGATGGTGTTACATTGCACACAACAGTTTAGGCAGAATGAGGCACTGATCTTGATTATCCAAAGCGTCATTTGAAAAACTGATTAACACCTATACTCTTTCTGCTATTTGCATAGAATGTGATGTCTATAACATAGAAGATAGAAAAATGTTTCAAAGCAGGACAGTTCTTCCACAGCTATAAACACTAACAGAATAGAAATTAGCGTTGTTACTTATAAAGTTACTTACAGTTCTTCTTTTCAAAATGGTCCATTTCTAGTTGATAGTATTATTTGGATTTTAACCAAGAATAAAAATAGCTGATAGCAGACAATAACAAGGCCACACTGAAATTTGCACAAGACAGACCAGTTTTTATTCCCCTTATAAAATGCTGCAAAGGACATAAGAAATCTTCTCTAGAAAATCCTTCATGACCTGTTTTACCCTGCCTGTCACTATAAAACAAAAACAGTTTCTAAGAAAAAGTTAAATTTCTACAATTTAAAAAAATATTTTTTATACATACCCCCCTGCTGATTGAGACTCTGCATTTCCCTTTCTCTGCGATCTAGTTCAGCTGCTTTTCTTTCTAGTTCTTCTTGGCGCTTCAGCAGTTCTGCCTGGGCCAAGGCATGCTCCTGAATAAAACAAGCATTGTCAGATATTGCTAAAAGTATGAACACAAAATAAATATTCCGAGTCTATTTTCTATAATTATGCATCTCCAGTTGCATCTCCAGTTATGAATGAAGACTGACCTAATATTGCATGAATTCATGCAATGGTTACCTAAAAGCAGTATTCATTTTCCTAAATCATCAGGAAATAATATTTTTTTAATAAAAGACACACTGTTCCAGAAGAGTGTTTATGTAATTATAATTAGAAGAAACCTACTGCCTGAAAGTTACAGACAAACCTTTGCAATTTGTGTGTAAGCAGGTGGTTCTTCTGTTGGTTTCATTATTGCTGGCTGGGTACTGGGTACATTAGGCATTTTCACATTTCCTGGAGGGGGCTAAGAAAACAAAAGACAGTCATAAGAAAACAGTCTCCTATTCCAATAAACATTTTTTCATAATTCTGTAAGAACTAATCCAGCTGTTTCAAAGGAAGCATTATAGATAAACTGAAAATCCGATACACAGCTCACAGTATTTAGGACATTTAGGAAGGAGAAGCTATTCTACGTTGCAGTGTTTTGTTTGTTTGTTTTTACAGTGCGCTGTATGCCATATACACACATGGCATTTTATGAATCAGTATGAATAATCTAATTTTATTCAGACATGAATATGGATAAGGATAGTTATTTCTTATGGGAATTGCAGGATTTAATTGTGATCTACTCACATTCTCAAACATGATGAGATCTATTAATAATATCTTCTAGAGCTTTCTACTTAACAAAGGTTTATACCACTTGGTTAACTAGAGAAACAATGTACCCTATTAAATTTTCAAATTCAGCATCCATAATCTAATACTTAACAATACCAGTATTTACTGTAATATCTAGTTTCAAGCACCACAGGCAATTCTGCGACTCGCTGGTTACCTATGAGAACACAGTTTACAAGAAGTTTTTAGTACTTCACAGTATTTTCAGAGGTTGTTTTAATCCTCTCCTGCTTATTTCTATGTTTCTCACCTCCTCTGACTTCCTCTGTATCTCTTTATCATATACAATGTTTAACTAATACTTACCAAACCAAGGAAATAACTACTGCAAAGATTAAAGTCGTCCACTGAGCTTTACCAAAGCAGATCAGTTCAGTCCTGCTATTATCTTATTTTATTCTTGAATATGCTTAGGGGAAACCTACAATTCACATCTTTCTTTGTGTGGTTCTTGCAACATGAAAGACTCCCCTATTCTGTGATCTTGTAAGACAGAGAACCACGTGTTCCTAACAAGGCTGAAAACAACAGCAAAAATATGGAGAGAGGTGTGACGTTTTAAATATAAAGGCACCTCAAAACACAGCAGGAACCATAACTAAATACCACTGATTTGGCAAATGATGACCTGGCCCAGCTTACCTGCATCTTTTCCAACCATTTTTTGACATATACAAATGAAATCCTCAGGGGATGAAACATCATGCCTTAAAAAACTACACCTACAGGTAACACTGCAGTATATCTCAGCAACATCGACTATTTCCAGCATTTCAGAACTATCTTGCCACCTTACACATCAGCTCCTAATAGAACACAGAGATACAGGTTTTATTCCTCAGAAATACTCAGTGATTTACACTTTTCATCCTAAAAATGATTGCCCAGTATTCTAGGATGAAAATAGTTGAACTCTACTTCACAGAATCACAGAAAGGTTGAGGTTAGAAGGGACCTCTGGAGATCTGCTCAAGCAGGGTCACCTAGAGCACGTTGCACAGGATTGTCTCCAGCTGGCTTTTGAATATCTCCAGGGAAGGAGACTCCACTACCTCTCCAGGCAACCTGTTCCAGTGCTCTGGAAAGCAAAGCAGCAAAGAAGTTTTTCTTCATGTTCAGATGGAACTTCCTATGCTTCAGTTTGTGCCTGTTGCCTCTCATCCAATCACTGAGAAGAGTATGGCCTCATCCTCTTGACACCCTCCCTTCAGATACTTATATACATTGATGAGATCCCTCCTTGGTCTTCTCTTCACCAGGCTAAAGAGGCCCAGCTCTCCCAGCCTTTCTTCAGAGGAGAGATGCTCCAGTTCCCTCACCATCTTAGTAGCCCTTCGCTGGACTCTCTCCAGTAGTGCCATGTCTCTCTTGTACAAGAGTCCAGAACTGGATACAGTACTCCAGGTGAGGCCTCCCCAGGGCTGAGTAGAGGGGAAGGATCACCTCCCTTGATCTGTTAGCAATGCTCTTCCTAATGCAACCCAGAATACCATTGGCCTTCTTAGCCATATGGTCAACCTGTCCACCAGCACTCCCCGGTCCTTCTCTGCAGAGCTGCTTCCCAGCAGGTCAATCCCCAACCTGAACTGGTGCATGGGATTATTCCTCCTCAGGTGCTAGACCCTGCACTTCCCTTTGTTGAACTTCATGAGGTTCTTCTCTGCCTATCTCTCCAGCCTGTTGAGTTCCCTCTGAATGGCAGCACAGCCCTCTGGGGTATCAGCCACTCCTCCCAGTTTTGGATCATCAGCAAACTTGCTGAGAGTGCACTCTGTGCCTTCATCCAAGTGACTGATGAATAAGTTAAACAATACTGGAGCCAGTATTTGGGGGGGGGGGGGGGGGGCCCCCCCGCAACAACAC